TCATTGGCTCCCCCTGGCACGTGGTCAGGGGCGTGTCAAGGCGGTGACCCGGTCGCCCTGAGTCCTGAGAGCCCAGCGCGAGGCCGAATGGACACCTTGGTACTGGGCCGCTGGCGACGACGGAGGTCGGAGGAGCTGCCGGCTCTGGGTGACGCGGTGAGCTCGGGGGTCGGGCGTGCGGGGCGGGAAGGCGGTGCCTGGGGCTTTGGGCGGTGTCTCCAGCCTCGGCCCTGCCGGAAGGGAGGCTGGGCGGAGGAAGCGTACCTGAGGGGCGGGGCCTGGGGCCTGGGGCTCCGCCCCCTCTGGCCGCGCCTGCGCAGACGCGGAGCCCGCATGCTGCAGGTGCAGGCGTGGGAAGCCGGGGTGAGCTTGAGGAGGCTTGGGCTGAGCCCGCAAGTGAGTTACAAGAGAAGTAACCGAAAAACCTCATAAAGTGTATTCCGACATTTGTCTTTGTGAACCAAAGTTCCCAGAGAAACCTTGCGTCTTTACACTTTGTGCTGCACCACTGACTAAGGGATCAGAGGTCACATTTGAGGCCTGTAGCAGAATTTTCCCCATGTTGCTGTCATCTGCCTACTGATGGAGTCCACTAATGTATTTGAAAAGTGTCTTGATTTATGACTTTTCTTTGTTCTGTTTTTATAAAAAAAAACCTTAAAAACTGCTTCCAAGATGGAACATGGAATTTGGGTAACGTGAATCCATGTTCCTGGGCCATGGTCACTCCAGAATTGACGCTTTCTCATCCACTTTGAGGGGAGAGTTACGCTTTTGTGTGACACCTTTCTGTTTGTTTCTTTAATTTTTGAGACAATCTCCTGTAGCCCAGGCTAGCCTCAAATTTGCTATACTGCCAAGGATGCCTTTGAACGGATTCTCCTGCCTCCACCCACCCCCCCAGAGTTGGGATTCCAGGTGCATCTTTTAGGCTCCAGCGTTTGCATTTGAGTTTCCTCCCTGCTCTGGAGCTGTGGACTCGGTAAGTGCAGGTCTACCTTTTCAGTTAACACAGCAGTGCGGTGCTTGTCTCAGTTTCGTTTTGAAACAAGGCTTTTCTGTACCCCACGCTAGCCTTGGGACTATTTCTGTTGCTCAGGCTGGTTTTGTAGACATCCTCAGTCTTCCAATGCTGGGGTTACAGACACCACCATGATCATCTGTAGGCAGCTTTTTTTCAGGTATTTATACTGCATGTGGACCTGAGTTTGAGCCCTAGAACTCATGCAGGAATGCCTCATTTATAACCATATTTCTGGGCAGGCTGAGACATGCAGATCCCTGGGGTTCACTGTCCAGACAGGCCCAGACTGGCAGATCCCTGGGGTTCATCACCCAGACAGGCTGAGACAGGCAGATCCCTGGGGTTCATGGCACAGCCAGCTTAGTTTATTTGGTAAGCTCCAGGTCAGTGAGAGATCCACCTCACAAAAACAAGGTAGATAATGCCTGAGGAATGAAACCAAGATTGACCCCTGGCTTCTGCATGCACACGGCCATGTGCACCTTCACAGACAAACACACATATGAGCACACAGAAGAAAAGTAAGTGACTAGGCTTCTGCCTGTCCCTCTGGGACCTCCCCACTCACTGCTGCCCTCAGAGCCAGTGCTGCATACCCAGCTCCAGTACCGACCAGCTCCTATAACAGACTTCAGACCACAGTGACTCAGACACATTGGGAGAGTTTGATTCTTCTGCATCTCCACACACCGCAGTGTGGAGGTGACCAGTCCTGTGGGTGGAACTCAGACCCCTAAATGCAGGAGTACAGCAGGTGGAACTTGGAAGGATAGGATGGAAGGACGCTGGCCCTGGATGTTCCCCCTCCACTTTCCTGCTGTTCGCATCTACCCTGTCAAAGATGGCATACCACTGTGGAGTTTGCATTCCAAACAGTGAGAGAGCATTTCCAGAACACTGCAGCTGCCCCGTGGAACATGAAAGGCCATGGTCAGTGCAGGTGCAGAGGCAGCAGGATGGGAAAGCAGGCCCAACCGCTCTAGTCTTCAGAAGGGGTGCTGACAGGTCCTGAGGATGGAGTGAACCATGTGCTGGTAATGTGAGGCCTGGAGACCAAGGCCAAGCCCCTCCTACCTGACCTGGCCGTGGCTTGAGCACCTCAGGGGGGGAAGCATTCCTGTGTGTTGAAAGAAGACTGACTGGGAACTGAGGGGGAATGAGTTCCTGTCGGGCCTGGGTTTTGTATCGCTTTGGGTCATGTAGGGGTACTGTGACAGACACTGCCTATCAGTAGATGATTGCTACAAGGATATTTTGTCACAGTAGCCTTTCAGTATCGTCCTAATACACATGAGGAAATCGGTGCAAGAGGTTAATGACAGTCCTGAGGACACAGCTAGGAAGTGATGACACCAGGACTAAGTCGAAGTCTTTATTTTTTTTTGGTCTTTTTGAGACAGGGTCTCCCTGTAGCCGCAGCTGTTCTGGAACTCACTATGTAGACCAGGCTGGCCTTGAACTCACAGAGATCCACCTACCTCTGCCTCCCAAGTGCTGGGATCAAAGTCTTTTTTTTTTTTCATTTATTATTTTTATTTTATGTATATGAGTATATTGCCTGCATATATGTGAGTGCACCCATGTTGTGCAATGCTGGAGAGGTCAGAAGAGGGCTTTGGATTCCCCTGGAACTGGAGTTTAAGGACGGTTCATAGCCACCATGTGGGTGCTGGGAATCGAACCCAGGTCCTCTGGAAGAGCAGTCAGTGCTCTTAACCGCTGAGCATCTCTCCAGCCCCAAAGTCTTTTATTTTTTTTAATTAATGATTTTTTTTTTGTTTGTTTGAGACAGGGTCTCAATATATAGCTCTGGCTGGCCTGGAACTCACTGTGTAGACCAGGCTGACTTTGAACTCACAGATTCATCTGCTTTTGACTCCTAAGTGCTAGGATTAAAGGTGTGTGTGCCACCACACCAGCCTTAATTTTTAAAAATTATTTTTATAGATGTATATGTCTGAGTGTGAGTATATGTATGTGAATACAGGTGCTTATGGAGGCCAGCCTGGTCTACATAGTGAGTTCCAGGCCAGCAGGGGGTACAGGGAGATCCTGTATCAAAAAGACCAAAAAAAAGAAAATATTTTATTTTTATTTATGTGTATGAGTGTTTTGCCTATATGTTTTTATGTGTACTATGTGCATGCAATGCCCATGGAGGCCAGAAAAGGGCATCAGAGTCCCCTGGAACTGGAGTTATACATGGTTGTTAGCTACTGTTGGGTGCTGGGAACCAAAGCCAGGTCCTCTGTACCAGTGCTCTTAACCACTGAGCCATCTCTCCAGCCTCTTGTTTTTGTTTTTTTTTTGTGACAGAATCCTACTGTGTAGCCTTGGTTGTCCTGGAACTCACTATTTAGACCAGGCTGGCCTGGAACTCACAGAGATCTGCCTGCCTCTACCTCCAGATTGCCAGGATTAAAGGTGTGTACAACCACAGCCAGCTTTTTAAAACATTTTTTTGCAATTTTACATATGTACACTTTGCATATTGACCACTCTCCCCACCTCCCCGCCACTCCTGTCCACCCTCCCTCCCCACAAACCTCTCTCATTGGTGTCTAGTCATTTCGTTTTGTGACCCACCACAATTAACCAGGGCATCTGTGTGACCATGGGTTTGGAGCTGTCCGTTGGAGCCTGCTGGGCTCGACAGAGGGTGCACACCTAAAGACAGCATAAGCCTCAGTCTTGGAGTGTGCCCTCAAGTCGGGCTATACAGTTTCCACCGTGGCTGTAGTGCTTCACCATGCACCCTAATTTGGCCATCATAGAATGATGTAAAGTGTGGTCCTGGGCCCGAGGGCTGCCAGCGACTGGAGCTGGAGGTCGTTATGGATCAGAGAGCAGGGAAGACGGACTGGAAGAAAGCTTCAGTGATCCATGAAACTGGAATTGACTGACTGCCAGGCTGGAGGTTGCAGTGCTTCCTGTTACTGAAGAACAGTGAGTTGGCATCCTACTGTGCTGCCTCTTAATTTGATAAGGTTCTTGTGTATATTGTATTGTCTTAGTCTTTGGTCTAGTGGTCCAGATTGAGTTTGGGCTTTCTGTCCTCTCTCACCCAGGTGCCCACACACGTGCACATACATCTCTAGAGTCTGGTTACTGAGGGGCTCCCCTAGTTTCCAACATCTGGTAAAAGCCTCATGTCTCTGTGGTCTGTGTAGCTGTCAGCAGAGCCAAGGAAGGTGCTGAGGTCAGGAGCAGCCCTCGCAAGTGTTTCTTGACTGCTGGTTAGGCACCAGCTTCCTGTGATGCTGAGCACCCCTCCCCTGACCAGCCCTGACCAGCCCTGATCACCGAGGTTCCTAGCTCTGAGGATGGCTAGGTGGTGGAAGCTGCATGTTGGTGGTGTCTCCAGTCCCTGGGGAAGGCATCTTTTGAGCACTTTTGTGTCCAGGCAGTGGTGTGTCACCACACACCAGGAATGTGGTGACAGCCTGGCTAGATCTCTGCTCCTGACTGTGTTTCCTCTGCAGCTCTGGTATCTGTTACAGGAATTGGCAGGTCTGGCTGCTTACCCCATGACCAGGGTGGAGAAACAAGGTACTGAGGAAGGATGCTGGCTCCACAGGAGGGAAGGAGCTATGATGGCCTTCTGGGGCCCAGGGACCATAGGCTTCTATAGGGAGGAAGTGGAGCAGCATTGCGGGAAGGTCTGGGCGGGCGTGCCTTCTCTGAACTAAAGTTCACTAAGGAGTGGCCCTGTTCTGGGTCTGTGAAGTCAGTGTCACTCCCTTTAAGGGGAGCAAAGGACAAAGGGCTTTGAATGACAGCCTTCCACAACTGCCAAGGGCTGGACTGTGACATCACCCACTGTACATAGGACCACAGTGTACATATCATTCAGCCTCGTGTCTCTGCTCAGACTGGACTTGCAGAATGCTCAGTGCATGACAGGCTCCTCGGGCACCTGGATGCCTTGGTAGAAGGGTGGGTTGGTGCTTTCTGGTTTCATCTGCTGATCCACTGTACGCTTTTCTAACTTTTTAATTCTAGGGAGAAGTGACCATTTCTTCCTGTAACTTTTCTATTTGTCTTTAGAAATGGGGCATAAGAATACACTGGTTCACTGCAGGATTCTTGCTATCGCTGTTTAATTTTACTTTTTTTTTTTTGTCTATTTGAG